GTCGTTCCAAAAGTCATTGGAAAATGTTAGCATTTGTTTTAAGTAATTTCTGAAGTAGGAAGAAAAATCATTATTGTGTACATCAGACTTTTGATTGAAAAGGATTCTTATTTTCAGTTTTGCACAGGAAAACACTGCACTTTATCCCCGATCTGCTCAGCCAGCACCTGGACTTTGGTCTGTGTGATATGGAAGCTGGCAGCTCAGTGGATTTATTATCCTGGCCACTGAAACTCCTACCTTCTCCTCTGACCCGCTCCCTGGTGACACTGTCTCATTGTCAAAAGAGAAGCTGAGGAATATTGAGAATTTTAAGAGTTTCTATGAGCAAAAGTTGATTTGATTTGGGCAGCAGCCAACCTAGAAGACAGAAAGGGGCTGGGAGGGGCTGTGGAAAATGAAAAACTTCTAGGCAGAAAGGGAGTAGCATCAAGGAAGTTGCACTGGGGAAAAGCGATGTGTTGATTAAGGCAAAGTTACTTTCCTGTAGGGGATGGCAGGGGTCTATTGGGCTGATGATCCAACTAGTGCTTTCCAGGCAATTGAATTTCTGGTTAACTGGTTTAAAATTTCATTTCTGGGGGCGCCAAAAGTATAATTAAATGAAGTCTCATTTTGGTGAAGTTGTCACAGGTGACTTGGCACAAGCGACCCCACGTGGGGCCTACTGTCCTGTGTTTCACACCGTGAGCACCGCACTGTGAGCCCCTGTTCCCTCCTCTGCTGCCAAAGTGCATTGCCCTGTAGTGGAGGCCTGGAGTCACCATGGGGGTAGGGACCTAGAGCAGAGAAGCATCTCTTTCTAAAATGGATGTCACTTCCTGTGTCCCCTTCAGTCACTTTCTAAACCACTCAGTGCTCCTTTCCCCTTTCCCAATGCCAGGCTCAGAAGGTGTGGTGTTTTAGGAAGACTCTTCCCTGGGCCTCTGAGCAAATCTGAGAAGAGATTCTTGAATGTGCCCCAGGTGTGTGGTCTCCCTCTCTTCCTCTAGTGGAGTTTGCACAGTTAGGGCAGGGGGTGGGGGCATCTGAAAACAACAGCTGCTTGCTTCTGGGGGTAGGTCCCCCCTTTATGCTGTGTGACACCCCAGCCTTCCCGAAGCAAACTGCCCGTGATCACCCTCACCACCTCCTGCTCGGGGAGGAGACGCTCCTAAGGACTTCAGGCACCTGCCCCCTTTGCTGACCCAGCACTGAGCATTCCGACCGAACAGACGCCAGGGGCGAAAGCTGTCACCTGTCCCATCACCGGCAGCACAGGCCTCACCTGGGATGTTGCTAGAAATACAGAACCCCAGGTCCTCCCGCAGACCCAGTGAATTCAAATCTGGATTTTGACAAGATCTCCAAGTGGTTCCCAGGCAGGCATGTTAAAGCGTTTAAACCACTGCTGCAAATAACACAGCCCGAGTCAGTTACTATGACATTTTAATTCCAAAGTCCCCCTGGAGAGGTGGTGTGTGTGGGAGCCTGCCAGCACCGTGGGAAGTGAACGCTGGGGCTGCACATCAAGGGTTTGCATTCGATGTTTGTCGGCACATTTGAGGGCATTTGCACGTAGAGAAATGGTACAGTGATTGCCAGGGTGAAACGTTAGCTGCTCAAAAAGACCCAAGTTTTTTACGGTTTTGTTTTTAATCTGAGTTAACTTACCAATAGTTCCTATTCGGGGGTACTGTAAGTTTTTTTTTTTTTTCTGTCCTTAAAATTTAGGTATGGGGAAGTCAAAAAGTTAAAGTCATCAGTAAATGTTTCATTCTACATTATTTTATTGTATACATCACTACCCGCATCATCCAGGTACTGGATTTTTGAATTTATGGATGAGTAAAGGGCAAGATCGACCATTTGTTTCCTATCTCCAGAACGTAGGCTCCTATGGCACCCTCTCACATCACTTGTTGCTCTTATAATGCTATAATAACAAGTCATATAGAGAAAGAAGAAGTAAAATAAAATTTTCCCCAAAGCTGGCCACAGTCCTGGGAAAGGCAGCTCTGCTCCTGTTTAAGTAGTTTGTCTAAATTCGAGTTGATGAAAGCAATAATTATTCGGTTTCTTTCCTAAGAGTCTTTTAACAGCTTGCAACACTAAACGTGATCCACATTGCAAGCTTACCAAATATTCTTTTAGGCCTTCTGCTAGAAACCTGAAGGGTGACGGAATATCGGAGTACCTCTGAACAAGACTGATGTATGTTTGTGATGAACTGCACAGCCCTAATGTTTCCCACAGCTTATAGATACTGCAGACAGGTTTTCATGTGACTCTACGCTCCTTACCTCCTTTGTCTTAGTGCACTTAATTTGGAAAACTTGCAATTGTAAATTCTTTCTCTCAGCCAGTTTGGTCTGTCAGTCTCAGCCCCTTGGCAGTTTTACAACCTAGAAATATCTTTCCCAAAGGCCTGGGAGCCATGTCTTTGGAATATAATCATCAAGAAAGACCGTTTCCTTTTCGCCTCAGTCTCTGTGGGGAAGTAGGAGTCTGATCTCCATAAGTTCCCATCGTTACTGATTCACTTTGTTAAACCATGTCATCGTTTAAGATATATATGTATACATGCGTATTTATCTGTTATATATCTTACATGTATATATGACTGTTTTACAATGTCTTTGTTTTCCCCTGTACAGTTGTGTTGCTTTATCAGCTGCTATAATCCAGATGGTCAGAATATTATTGTGATCTTTAACTAGGTACCTTCAAGAACAGGTTGTCATAAAGGTTGCTCATAAACATAATCTGTGCATGCTACTCCTGACCTTCTCCTTTACGTTCTCTGTCGTCAGGCACAGCTATGTGGCTCCTCCGTTTGCTACTGTTTGTTTTGTTTACCCCACAGGTGATTCTGATGTACAAAGCTGGGAATCACTTCTTTCTAAGCAGGGTCCGCGTTGTAAAATAAACATCTTTAAAATTATATTTCCTCTTCAACTAGGATTGATGGATGGATGAACAGTCTATTCCAAAAGTTGTGGTCAGAGCCAACCTAAAGCACAGCTTTCAACCTCCATCAGTTTTTTTTTTATGAGTTACTGCTTTTATTTCTTTAGTGCCGTCTCCAGTGCTTTCTAAGTTGCCTCTTTCAACCTTGTGTTTGAGGGATTCTGACAGCAAATCATCTTTGATAAGGATCCTTACCTCATGTCACACATACAATGCATCACTAGGTGGCGCGGTGAGTTTAGTGCTCTGTATGTGTACCATCTGTATCTTTCAGTTCTAGGTTAAGGATGAGTGTAGTTTCCGATATCACTGAGGGAAAAGCAATTAACAGACTGAATAAAAGTCATCTGCTTTTATAAATTAATAGACTTCATTTTAAGTTTGTGGGAAAACTGAGCAAAAATACAGAGAGTTTCCATATACCTCACTTCCTCCCACTCATCTCTTATTTTTACCTTGCGTTAGTGTTCCATAGGTTACAGCTGATGAACAAATTCTGCTCCATTATTATTAACTGAAGTCCACAGTCTACATTAGGGTTTGCTAAAGAGCTCTATGTTGCTAAAGTGTTCTATATGCAGTGAATTTTGAGAAATGTATATGACATGTACCCATCATTCCAGTATCAGGCAAAAAATTTTCGCTGTCTTAAAAATCACTAGATCTCTGCCTTTTCATGCTTTCCAATCACCCCCAAACAGAATCCAGCCCCTCAAACAGATCTTTTCATTGTCTCCATAGCTTTGCCTATTCCCGAATGTTAAATAGTTGGAATTTCATAGTGCATGTGAAATTTTCAGATTGCCTTTTTCACTTAGCAACATGCTTTAAAGGTTCTTCCTTCTTTTCTTGACTTGACAGCTTTTTGTTTCAAGTCCCTGAACACCACGCCGTTGTTTGGAGACTCCACAGCTCTGTTTATACATTTATCTATTGATAGGCATCTGGGTTGTTTCTAAAGTTGGGCAGTCATGAGTTTAGCTGCTATAAATACACTTGCACAGGCTTTGCATAAAGATCAGTTTTCAACTCATTTGTATAAATGCAAAGTAAGATTGTTGGATCATATGATGAGTATATTAATTTCTTCAGACACAGCCAAAGTGTTTTGTAAGGAGTCATCTGCTTTTTATTCTTGACAAGAGCTGGAACTTTTAAATCATTTCAGAGGTTAAAATAGTCCAACAAAAAAAAAATCATTGATTAAAGACCATGTGATGGAGGCCAGTAATGACACATTTAAACTCTTTTAAAAATCAAAGTGGAGTAACTATTGTTCAGGCCACCATAACAGAGCCCGGTGGATGTGAATTCAGACACCTTGCATCACTAAGAACTTGAATTTTCTGAACAGAATCAAACTCAAGGACACCACCAGTCATTTTCAAAACAGTATCTGCAAGCAGCTGCCCGCTGCAATTCACAGTTTCAAAGCCACCCCCCAAGAACCCATTACTACGTAACCAACTTGATCCCCAATCGTCCTTGATAAACACGCAGTGCACCCTTACTCCCTGCCAGAGCTTATCGCCAATCATAGCTCTCAACAACTTTTGTAACCTTTTAGTTTTCTTTGCCTTTAATAAATTTGCCCAATTCTGTGGATCCTGGGAACACAATTCAAGCGCTTCCTAATCTGGGTCTCCTGAGAGCTGCAACCCTAATAAAGAACAGAGCAACACTTTTTTTTGACTGGTTTCTCCGCAAGATGCCAGGTCCTCCAACACCTTCTACATGGGAGTTTGCAGAACTTCAGGGGGCCAGTGGGAGATTCATTAGGACCACCCTTGATCTGGGATTAAGGTACAGTAAAGAGTGTGTTGGACTGGGGAACAAAATGCACAACGTAAAAGTTGAGAATTATGTTTGATTCGGTGGATTTTCTGAGGATTTCAAGCTGAGGACACAGCCTCTCAGACAGCTGTGAGGGACAGCTCCTGCGAGGTAGAGGAGCCAGGATATACAGGAGTTTTTGCAACCGGGCAATCAGAACATCAAAAGATTGTTCTTAATTAAAGAAAACCAGGGTGGGGAGAAGCGAGATGGCAGAGTAGAAGGACTCTTGTAGCTCACCGTCTCCCACAAATACACCAAAACTCACATCTATCGACCCACTCAGGCAACCAGAGCACCTGCCATACTCTGACAGAACATCACCCTGTTTGAAAGACAAAGATGCCAAAAATCTGGTAGGTAAAAAGGAAAAAAGAAAGAAGAAACAGCGAAGCAGCGCGCGATGGGTCCCGCGGGCAGGGAGCGGCAAAGGAGGACTGGCGCTCGCTCGCTGGGTCTCCCCTCTCCAACGGAGAGGCCTGGGGGCCGGAGGGGGAGCCTCTGAGACTCAAATCTGCCCCGAGCAGCCCTTGACTGACAGAAGTGAGTTAAAGGGGCACCAAGGGTCCCCGCTCCACGCAGCCCGAGACGCGAGC